TGGCTGGGGGTGGGGGGGGGAGTGGAGGCACGGGGGAGCTGGGGGAGCTGGGGCAGGGTGCCCCGTCGCAGGCTGAGGACTTCTGCCTCCAGAGCAGGGGCTCCTTTTCCTTCTAGAGGAGGGGCTATGCTGTAGACCATCTGCCTCCACCACCCCTCCCCACAAAGAAAAAAATTCCCCAGCGACGAAGGGTGCAGGCTGGCGAGAGGAGGGAGGCAGCGGCATTGCCGGCTGGTGCTGCAGCCTGGGAGAGCTGACGCCAGGCTTGCTCTCTCTGCAGGGGGCTGCCCTTCTCCTCCGACCAGCTCCCTTTTCAGAGCTGCCCACATCTGGAGCCCCCTCCACATCTGGAAGACCCCAGCCACCGTCCCTCTGCAGGTGTCAGTTGCCTCAGGAGACCTCTGGCTTTGCAACTGCCTAGGAGTTGTGAGGGATGACTGCTGCCTTCCCCCATCCCAAGGGCATCTCCTACCCTTAGTCCCTGCAGAGTCATCCCCCTGCCTCTGTGTCCAGGCTCAGCCAGAGATCAGCTCAGCACACGTTCAGGCACTTCAAGTCCTGGAGGCCACTCCTGAGACCCGAGGCCCCTCCCCCTGCTCTCCTGTGTCCTCACCTTGACCCCCTCTGTCAGACTCTGTCTTCCTCTGGGTGTCCCATTCCCCACCCAGAGGCAGAGGAGGCGGGGTGGCAGGGGGCAGGGGCTGGGTGAGGGCCACCCAGGGCCAGGGTGGGCTGGGGGGCCGTTAAGATGTGGAGCTCTGCCTGGCCGAGGGGGGCTCCGTGGAGGCAGACGCAGCGTGTGCCCGGCTGGGGGGAGTATGGGCAGGCCCGCAGCCACGTGGTAAAGGATGAACATTCGGGGCACCCCGGACCTCGGGCAGCCCAGTGACGACCCCAGCAGTGGTGGCCAGCGGGAGCGGATTCGACAGCGAATGAAGATGGTCATCGGGCAGCTTGAGGGCATCCTGCAGGAGCTCAAGGAGGTGGCCAAGGAGCTAAGGGAGGTGAGTGAGGGGCCGGCCAGACCCCAGGCCAGTTTTCCTGGGCCCGGCCCCAAAACATGCTCATCCATGTTTAAGTGTGTATGTGTACTCACAGCTGTGTGCACCCGTGTCACTTTGCTGGGGACTTCCTTTTCCTTCTTCTTTCGCCAAATCTGCTTTGCTAGAAATCTCACCATACTCCAGGACTGGAGGGGCCTCAGTGTTGCAGAGTTGACTTGGGCAGCGTGTTGTGGGCCCGTGGCCTATGGTTAGCCCTCCGGGCTGCCAAGGTGACAAATATAGACTAAATCCTACCATAGCCTCTTAGTGGGAGACACTCTTCTGGGGCCCAAGCTGGCTTTTGACCCCACCATCTGCCTCGCAGACTCTGACCTGCTCAGAAGGTGGCTCTGAGAGAGTGTTGCTGGCCCTACTGAGAAGCTCTGAGCATTCTCCAGAAATCACACAGATACTCAGAACCCTTGATCCGGGAAAAAGTTAAAGCCAGCTAGGCCTGCCCTGCCCTGAGGTGGGAATGTGTCTGGGGGGCCACTAGTGGGTACCAGAGTTCCTGGGTACCTTGGCAGGGGCAGGAGTCTCGTCTAGAGGCATGCATCCCCATCTACAGTTGTGAACGTTTTTGCCAAGGCTGAAAAGTCACTGAGAGATCCCGGGATGTGTGTCCCTCTCTGTCTAAGTGGAGCCCGGTTTAATTACTGCTTCCCACATCGCTGGGGTAATGAGGTACACACATCCTCAGCCCTGCCCCTTGGGCTGTGTTCGAGCCCAAAATGCATGACCAGCGTTCTGGGCCGCTGGCCTGAATTTGCCCACTGGGTGCCATTAAGCCGGCCAGGTGGGCTTTAGGCAAATTTCAACTCCCTGTAACCAGGGCCCCTGCAGAGACAGCAGAGAGAGTGATTGAATGGGAGTTATGGGTTCATTCTTTCTGCAGCCAGCTGTGCAGGGAGGCTCCTGGAGGATTGAGGAGAGGGGGGTGATGGTGGGTACCCACTCCGGCCTGGAGAGCCAAGGAGCAGGGCATGTTTGAAGGGAGCTGTGTCCCAAGCAGAGGGGTTGTGGAGAGGCTGGAACAAGAACTGAGGTGAGGCAGGGCAGTCCCCTCAGCCCAGAATCAGCGTTGTGGTCGAAGACCAGATGCCCCTGAGCAACCCCCAAACTCGTTGCTCCAAAGGACTACAACTCCCCTTCATCCCTCTCTACCCCATCTTTTCCAGATGCTCCTGTGGGTCCGTCAGGGCCATGGGAACCATCCAGAGTCTCAGTCTTGGGCAGGGGCATGGGACCTGTGCCCCAGTAGGCCCACCCAGAAAAGAGCCAGGATGGACTCTAAGCCTGGGAGTCCTATGGCCCGGAGCCTACTCTCAACTGAGCATCTTCTGAGATCTGCCTCTCCTGTCTCCCCAAGCATAGTCACCCAGAGCTTAAAGACATCTCACAGATCACCCATACCAGCCCTGTCCATTTTCTGTTTGAAGAAACTGAGGCCCAGAGAGGGCTGGGGGCTTATCCAAAGTCACAGAGCCTACTAGTGGCAGAACTAAGCCCAGAACTCAGGTTCCCGTGGCCTATTCTGAGGCTGGAGCAGGGGGACTAGTGGGTGACCTTTTTGCATTTTGACAGGGGCCTTCTAGAGATGACACCTTCTGCTCGCGCTGTGATGCTCTGAGGGGATGCCCTTTCGAGGATGAGGCAGGGAGATCAGAAGCACTAGGATTTATTTGCAGATCTGTTAGATGTTCCCTCTCTCCCTTCTCAGCATATATAGACCCAGCCCCAAGTCCTGCACAGCAGAGCTTCAGGGTCACAGGCCGTGCAGCCCAGAGGCCTGAGCCAGGACAGAGAGAGATGAGTTCCCTCCCCCTACACACCCTGTAGGCCATGTGCTTCCACCCAAGACTTTGGCAGGTTGCTACAGCAACCAGCGTCTACCCCGTATGCCACAGCCTGCCCGCTGCCAATGGCACCCAGCTGGGAGGGGGGCAGGCCTCAGAGCTCCCCCATCCCCCAGGCAGGGTCTGGACATGGGGAGATGGGCAGAAACAAGTGTTGGGGAAAGCAGGTAAGGCTCTGGGAGGCCCAGGCAGAAGAGGAGACACCATAACTGACTTCCTGTGGGATGGGGTTTATCAAGAATGGGGTTACCCGGTGGGGGTGCCAGGCATTAGTTTGGGGTAAAGGGTTGCAGCCCTCTGTTCCCTAGACCCTGCAATCTTGGCTCTTGATCCTGAAAGGGGGCTTATAAAACTGGATCTACCTGGCTCTTCTCAGTCCCTTTGTGTGGCGTTTTTCCATCAGGGGCATGGGTAGACCCAAGGTCTAGAGGGTGGCAGGCACTTCTTCCCTCATTATACCCCCTTCCCCAGATACCACCGGGTCAGCGCTCATCAGCTGGGTTGTCATCAGGAGAGCACATACCACTGATCAAGGCAAACCCTCCTCATCCTCTTGAGCACAAAGCCTGAAACTCACAGAGAGAGATGGGAGACCCTAAAGCACTTCCTCCTGAGGCCCCTGAGCCTCAGTCTACTCATCTCTGAAATGGGGATGCTGATCATTCACATCTCAGAGTGGTCTTGCAAGGGTTTATCGGAGGCTTGGCACGTGGCAAGGTGGGGGGGGCGCTAACACTCACACCCCTAAAGGTTTTGGAGTTCCCTCTCCCATACCTCCCTCACCCTCCCAAACCCCTGCTGCAGCTCTGTCACTGGCTCCCCAGGTGATAGGGAGCAAGTTCTGTCCCATGGGTGAGGAAAGTACCCTCATGGACTAAGTAAGGTGAAGAATGTAAATGTGCGTTGAAAGCTGAAGTTGTGTTCCAGAGGGATGTGACTGTCAATCATTAATTAGCCCTCATCCCTCCTAGGCTCCCCAGTACTCCAGGACGCCAGGCCAATCCCAGCAGGCTCTCCAAACTCCTTAAATTTCTGCGAATCTCAACTTAGATAGAGATGCAGCACAGCCTTAAGGCCAAGAGCATGGGCTCTACAGCCAGACGTCTCGGGTTCAAATCTAAGCTCCACCCCCTTCCTAGCTGTGTGAGCTTTGGAAAGTTACTTCACCTTTCTGGGCTTCTGTTTTCTGGCAAATGGGGATACTGAATCTTATGCCTACCCACCTTCCCCAGAGTTGTTGTAAGAATTAAATGTGATACCATGTATAAATTACATGCACCGTGAGGGACACCAAACTAGCTCCACATCTTTTAGAGATTATTAAGGAGATATTCTTGCACCGGCCGGCTTCTTACTCCATGGATGGCCTCGTTCTTTTGGAGTCACATCAGCTTCTTAGCCATGATCAGAGTGGTCAGAGCCAGGACCCTGGCCTCCTGGCTGGCACCCTTCAGTATCTTTGGCCGTACGGCAGTGTCGCCCTCTTCCAACATGGAAAGAGGTAGAGAGCAATGGTGATGGGGGGGGGGAGGGGTCTCCAATAAGATGCCTTTTGAACGGAGACCCAAAGGGGAGGAAGGTACAAGACGAATGGGTATCTGGGAGAAGAGCCTTCCGGGCAGTGGGAGCAGCCAGTGCAAAGGTCCTGAGAAGGAAGTGTGGAAGTGAGCTCGGCATGTTGGGAATCAGCAAGGAAGCCAGGGCGGCTGGAGTGGAGTGAACAAGGAGGAGAAAAGCAGGAGGAAAGGTCAAAGAGAGAGCCGGGAGCTAGATCACACAGAGCCTTAAAGGCCTTGGTATGAAATTCAGATTAATCCTCAGTGAGAATCCCCCACCGTCTCCAGGAAGCTCCTGCTTGTGTTTCTGGGTGGGAATCTGCCTCCCCATTGGGCTCCCTGTTCCTCACCAGCTGGGGGACCCCAAGGGCAGGGGGAAGGGCCCTCATCCTTGGCCCCTTAGATGGTGAGCGTATCTTAACCAGGTACTTGGCCTCCTCCTCCCCCTCCTCCCCACGATGTCACTCAGCATGGGGGCTCAAAAGTGATCCTCGAGTTCGCTGCTGGTGACTGTCATGTCGTCACTGACTCTTGGGTGGGACCTAACTTAGGAGCACAGTGGCCCACCTCGCGTGGCAGCAGAGGGTCCCCTCACCTGATTTGCATGGGGAACAGGCCCAGTGGCAACCGTGCAGTCCCATCAGCAAGGTGCTGCGTACGACGTGGCATGGAAAGCCAAGGGCTTTCATGAGATGAATGTGGCCCAGCCAAGAAGCAGCTGGGGCAGGAGAGGCTGGGGACCACGGAGCTGTGCCAAAGTGGGTCAGCGCCATCACCCGCAGCTCAGCAAGAATTGTGCGGATTTTTTTCTTCTTATTTTTTTTTTTTTCCCTCACCTTCCTTTCCTCCCTCTTTCCCTTTGCGTTCTCCTCCTTTGGACAGATTCACAAAGCTCCCTGGCCAATTAGGCCAAATTGCAGGATGAGAGTCATGAATCACAGTCAACTCTCCCCACCCCCCACTCCACAGCACCCCCCCCCCCCCCCGAAGACAATAAATAACATAATCACAGAATTAAAAAATAATCAGTGGTCATAAATAATGCAGATCCCCAGTTATGTAACCAGCTGCCTGGGGAGCTGGGTGGGAGGGGAGGAGGTAGCAGCTTGTTGAGTGAGGGGAAGGGGCCAGAGGTGAGGGAGGTGCTGGTTCTGGGACTCCTGGGTCCTCGGTCCTGGCTCTGGGGCCTTAAGGAACACAGATGTGCTTTCCCTGGAGAGAGGGCTCAGCCGGGGCTGGAGAGAGGGCTGGGGCGGGCAACATAGGACCATGCAACTCCTTCTCAGAAAAAGCCCCAACAGTTTTGATCAGCCTCCTGTCTCAACTCATCCACTCATCCCATGGCTGTATTTGTGAGGAGTGTGCCAACCCCTGTGCCAAGCTAGGGGTGCCATGGCGGGCAAGATGCCCCCAGTCCCACCCTTCATGGGGCTTACTGTCTAGTGGGAAGACATCAATCCTGTAACATACATGTATATGCAATTGCAGCAGTGATAAATATTGGAAAATATTTTAAGGAAAGGTGCAGAGTGCCTTGAGAGCCTATCCTAGGGAACCTGTTCCCCACGGAGGATCAGGGAAAACTCCTGATGGAAGTGAGATGGGGTGAATAGAAAAAGAGGGAGCATTCCAGGTGAGGCCCAGAGGCCGAAGTGGGCTCGGGGGAGTGGGTAGAGCTGGGGAGGCTCGCCTGGCAGGGCGGTGGCTGCCTGCTGGAGAGAAAAGTCCCTGTGGCCAGAGTTGTGGGGTTTGTGTTTGCGACACTCGGGGGTTTGGGGAGCAGGGCGGTGCCGGAAGCAGAGGGGTGACGCGGTCCTGTTAGCTGATTCTGAGATGCCCTGAATGCAGCGCGCAGCAGGAGCTGGGCAGGAAGCTGCCAGCAGATGGGTGCGGCTGTTCAGGTGAGGTTGCTGAGGCTATGAGCGGGACAGAGGTTGGGGGCGCCCTTGGGACGGGGCCTGGAACCCCCAGCCGATCTATCACGGCACTCAGCCCTGCCTTTCTGGTGTTCCTTCTTGCCCGCTCTAGATCAGCTAATTCTTATTCTTAAGGTGCCAGACCCAGCAGTCAGGACTCCTGACTTGTGGTCTCAGCTCTGCTCCTTCGAGTTTCTGGCCCTCAGTCTCCCCCTCAGCAAGCACAGTGAGAGGGGTGAAGCCGACAGCGACTCCAGTCCTCTGGCTTTGGGGCTCTTGGATTCTGTGATTCTTATGCTGTCATTTCTCTCTCCGTTAGCTCTCTCCCCATCTCTTTCCTTCTGTATATATAATTATTTCCCTGTCCTCCAAGACAATCCTAAATTACATGTAGGCAAAATGATTATTAAATCTCAGAGAGAAATCACAGATTTCAAGGCATCCGAAGCAGAGGGGCAGGTAACGTGGGGCCTGCCTGTCCTCTGCCCGCCCCACTGGCCCCACAAAATGAGGTATAGGGACAGATGGTGGGGTTTGTGGACTGACCCAGGCCCTGCATACAGGGTGGGTACCCTTGGCACGTCATTCCTCTTTCTGGTCCTCACTCATGTCATTCATCAAGTGGGTGTGCCTGTCCCTAGTGGTCTGGGCCAGCTTTGCCTTTGAGTTTCATTACCGTTTGGCATCTAGACCCTCTTCTGCTCCTGCTCTGTCCGGAGACAGAGCAGGGAACATAGGTGCCACCCATGTGCTGGGGTTTGGAATACCCAATAGGTCCCATTATTCTGCCACAAGCATTGGAAATGTCCCCATCAGAATGCCATTCTGTGGGTGAAGAAATGACTCCCATCAGCTCTTGGGCCTGGTGCCAGGGGCCTGGTTCTACCTTTTCACCCACTGGTGCACAGTGGAGATTGATAGTCTTTGTTGTTCTACCTGCTTTCTGGGAATCATGTCATTAACTACTCCCAACAGCCCTGTCAAGTAGGTACTACTAGAATTCCCTTTTATGACGACGCAGGCACAGAGACACCAGGTCATTTGGCCAAGGTCACACAGCCACTCGGTGGTGAGGCCTGGGTTGCACCTAGCTACGTCTGACTCCAGAGTCCAGGTTCGCAAGTGCTTGGCTGTGCTGATTCTACAGTTTAAATCACGTTCTATTAAACCCCCATCACCTTGGTGAGGAGAGGATTGTCCGTCCCATTTTTGTAGAGGAGGAAACAGACATGGGGAGAGAAAATCACCTGCTTCAAGTTCCTTAGCCAAGATGTGGCCGACTTGGGATTTGAACCCAAGCCTCCCTCTGTCCTGTCCCTCCACACCCCAGGATGGAACCAGAGAAGGGCGTTCTAATGGAGAAGGGGAAGGGCCTGAATGTGAAGGCTGCCTGAGCAGGTGGCCAGCCAGAAGTTCTTGGGTGGGAAGGAGTATGTCCAAGCCTGACAGCTTTAGGGCCCCTGCCCTGTGCACCCTGGGTCTTCCTCACGGGCATTAGGAGCCCAGCTTCTGGGCTTGGCCTGGCCTCAGCCAACCCTGTGTGGTCACACCCAGTCATTTAATGACATTTCTATTAGCTGTGTCCCCATGCTTCCACAGCAGAAGGCTCAGGCTGAACTTGATCAGGAGAGCCTAATTTGTCCCCAGACACTCAGGGCCTCCCCTGAGACTGGCAATGCTCCGAGGTGCTATGTCTTTACCAGCTTAAATCCCCAGACCCCTAGTCCAGTGGTTCTCAAAGTATGCCCCTGGATCAGCAGCACCCAGAAGCGTGTTGGATGTGCACCTTCTCAAACCCCACCCGGGTCCTACTGAATCAGAAACTCTGGTGTGCATCAACCCACTCCGGTTTGAGAGCCCTTGGTCTGGGCCAGGACTCCCACCCCTCAGGTGGGGCTTCGGTTGAACAGGGGCTTCTGGGGAAGATGAGCTTCTCTGAGGTAGGGGGAGTCACTCGGGGGTGGGGGACACAAGAAGGGATTGCCGGATTGGAGAGTGGGGCCCTCTCCACATTTCTTGCCCAAGCCCAGACATCACAGTAGCACCTCACGGTGGTGAGCAGTCTTGCAGGGGAGCGGCAGGAGAGGGTGGGAATCTCGGCTCCCCCCTGTTACTGGTGCCTCGGGTGCAATTTCTAGAAGCTCAGGAGGTGATGATCTCATGGGTGGAAAGCCTAACGCTTAGTTGGTGCTCAGAGATGGGAGATGATGTCATTTTTATCACCAGTGCCCCACAGAGCCCCTTTACTGCCCTTCTCACCGTTCCTCAATGAGGGCCCTGGTGAGGATGGCAGCGCTGGAGTCATTGTATTCAAATGGTGGCAAATGAGGTTTGAGATCCAGAGAGGTTGTGTGACTTACCCAAAGACACACAGAGCAATGTCTAAGCTGAATCTAGAACCCAAGTGTCTTGACTCCCCCAGTTCTGTAGGCTCCAGCCAAATGATCCCACCACCCCTGGGGTCTGGGGCCATGGGGAGTGGGTACCCCTGGCATGGACACCCCAAAACAGCTTCTCAGTCATCCCTATAAACCCAGAGTCGTAGAATCTCAGAGATGGAAGGAACCTTGGAAATAAAGCATTCACCCAACCTCCCCATTTACAGATCAAGAAACTGAGACCTCAGAGGGAAAATGACTGATCAGGTCACCCACGTAGGACCCTCTGACTCCTAAGCAAGTAAACTTCTCACTGACCCATACACCTCCTGGCCCACTGTTTATGCCCTTGCTTTTGTCTTGCATTTGGGGGCATCCCCCACCCCCACCCCTCACCAGACACCTGGCACATCACTGGACAGCAGTCATTCTCATACACGTTTGTTGGACTAGGGGCTTCCTTAGTTAATTCATTACCTCACTGCTCTGACCCCAGGGAAAGAACACCAGAGAGGCACCGGGAGCTTGGGGACGCACTGTGTATGTTTTGTCCTTGGGTCTCTTGGTCCCTCTGCTTTGCTATTGTTGTTGTTTTGCTGTTTTTGTTTTTGGTCTGAATCGTTTCCCCCTTCCCTTACTCTGCCCATTCTGGACCCTCTCTGATGGGGTCTCCCTTTTCCCCCTTCACTGTCTTCATCCCTGATTTCTGCACTGACAGGGTCTAGGCGAGGAGTCCTGAGGCAGGGCACCTCTATAGAGGCAGGGTGCTGCTTCATGTGGGATGGGTGGGGTCAGTGGTCTCTGTGACCGAGCTGCCCCCCACCCCCCGAGTGCATGTGATGAGCGGCCCTGGACCCAGGATGAAGGGTTTTCTTATTCCTCCCCCAACGAGCCAGGGTTGATCTCCACTCATCAGGGGGCAAGAAAGGGAAGGAAGGAGGAGGTTCTGGGGTACGTGGGGGTACGGTGATGGAGACTCATGGGGGACAGTCACTGACCAGCGGCACAGGCTGGTCCAGGATGCTTTGGAAAACCTGGGCAGAGTCTTCCTCGTGGTCACCCCGTATCATTTCCTCTCCAACTCATCCATCATGTGGTCTGCTCATCTCTCCACCGTGTGGCCTGGCTGGAGTGTCAGCTTCTGTAAATGGCCGCCTCTCAGTCAAAGGAAGATGGAACTCTGAGCACCAGAACAGCAGCTGGCTTGGGGGGCAGCGGGGTGTGTGCGTGGATGGGGTGTGGGTCTGGAAGGAGGGACTGAGGACTAGAAAATAGGAGAATGGCCCAGACAGGCTCTCCTCACCCTCGTCCAACGTGGGCCCTCACTGGGGCAAACGAACCTGTGACCTCAAGCCCAGTCATCAGCCAGGCATCTAGCAGGGTGGGACAGGGGCACGCTCACACCCGCGTGATGCTAGGCCCCCCTCACTCGTCTCTCCTTCCGTGGCCAGGTGGTGAGCCAGATCGATAAGCTAACCTCAGACTTCGACTTTGAACTGGAGCCAGACGACTGGACCACGGCCACTGTGAGCAGCACCTCCAGTAGTGACAAGGCGGGCGTGGGCGGCCCCTTCGACCTGGGTCACCTAGACTTCATGACAGCTGACATCCTTTCGGACAGCTGGGAGTTCTGCTCCTTCCTGGATGTATCTACCCCCTCGGACTCCGTGGACGGCCCAGAGTCGACCCGGCCAGGGGCTGGCCCCGACTACCGGCTCATGAATGGTGGCGTGCCCATCCCCAATGGGCCACGAGTGGAGACCCCGGACTCCTCCAGTGAGGAGGCCTTCAGTGCTGGCCCCACAAAGGGCCAGCTGCCCCAGCGGACCCCAGGCACACGGGAGAGGGTGCGGTTCAGCGACAAAGTACTCTACCACGCTCTGTGCTGTGACGATGAGGAAGGGGACGGTGAGGAGGAGGTGGCAGAGGAGGAGGTGGGCCTGTCCCCAGAGCCTCCCCGTACAGAGGCCCACGTGGGCCCCCTCAAGCCCTCCCCGGCTCCCTACAAGCCAAGACGCTCTCCAGTGACCAGCCGCCGCTCAGGCCCCACCTTGGCCCCTGAGCAGACCCGAAGGGTCACAAGGAACAGCAGCACCCAAACAGTGTCAGACAAAAGCACGCAGACGTTGCTGCCCTACACGGCTGCCAGACAGAAAGCCAAGGGGAAAAACTAGGGGCTGGGGAGGGGGCTGGGGGGCAGTGGGCACATAGAGCTATAAATATATATATATATATACATATATATATATTTAAACAAACGCAGTCATAATAAAATTTTAAAATGCTAAGGATCCAACCCCAAAGGCCCCAGAGCTTTCACGGAGCTCATCTTAGACACAAAGATGCCTACTCACCACCTAGGTCCCAGGAGGTGCGGCCGGAACCACCCTCCCTTCCTTCTCATTGCAGGGCTCCCAAAAGGGGCGTCCAAAAGCATGTAAATTAGGTGGGACTCCTCTTCCAGGCCCCCCCGAGCACGGTGGTGGAGTCTGGCTGCTGGCCTGGGCCCTGTCCCAGAGGGGATCCATCGACAGGTGGCAGGCTCACAAGGAGCAGTGTCCAAGGCCAAGGGCTAACCGTAGGTCTGACTGCAGGATGGAGGGCCTCGGGGTGGCATCACTCCACACACACACCTCCCCCCATACTTTCCACTCCGAGGCTTGTGCCTCTCCTTCCCAAAGGCAGACTTACCTGGGGAGATACACAACCCTACCCCACTCCCCTTCCATCTCAGGGTTCCCCAGGACACAGAGAAGGAGCAAGCTATTCCCATGGGGCAGGCCTCCCTGCTGGGAAGCTGGGCTTCCCCAGACCCTAGAGGACCAGACTAGATTCGGAAGGGGTTTGTTTGGAGAGACTAGACCACCCCCATCCTTCCAACTCCTATCCTCAGCTTTGTCCTCTAGGGCAAAGCCCGCCAGCCCCTGAGTTGGCCCTGTGCAGAAACTGAGGTCCACGTGAGAGGGCAGCCAGCGGCCACTGTGGGGCTGTGAAAGGGCTAAAGGCAGGCTCCTGAGCTCCTTCTCTAGGCAGGCAGACCCAGAGAGGAATCCCATGGCCTTACTCTGCCCCTGCTTCCTCACACAAGGACCCTGAACCCACCCTCGCAGGTCTTGAATGACACCAACAGAGACAAGCTGGGAGCCTGCAGGTAACGAGGCTTCATCTGGGGTGGGGGGCCGACCCAGGCACAGCATCTGGATATCCTGGAGATCATAATCATAATCATTGCTCACACTTATTGGGCAGGCCTCTGGGCCACTCCGATGCTAAGTGTGTTTTATAGTATTATCTCATGTAATCTTCGCAACAACCTCATGTGATAGGAACCGTTCCTTAGCCCCATTTTTCAGATGAAAAGGCTGAGGTTCAGGGATGTTAAGTCACTGGCCCGAGGTCACAGAGCCCGTGCCGCCCTGCCTCCCATGAGCGTGTGGTTCCCAGGCTATACCTGGCTTTGCTCTCTAGCAGCCGTGTGACCTTGGGCGAGCCCATTTGCCTCTCTGAGCCTCTCTACCTCATCTACAAAATGGGTCTAATAATCTTCACCTACCTCACCGGCTGCTGTGGGGCCTCAACAAGATGGGAAATGTGAAAGTCCTTGGGAAGCGCCATGGCACTGGATAGGCACTGTGGTCAGTGTGACCCCAAACTGGATTCCAGCGTTTTCCAAGGATGAGGAGCTTTGAGGGGGGTGTGGGAAAGAAGTCACAGTCACGGGAGCTGTCCGTGGGTCACTGCTCTGCTTCGTCCTCCACATCAGCACGATACACCGCCGTGCGCTCAGAACAGGGAGGTGTCGGGAGCGTCACTGTAAGGACATCAGTCCTCGTTGGGGGGGGGGGGCGGTCTGCTGCACGTTTCCATTAAAGCAGATTTACAGCCCACCGGGACCCATTGGAAGGGTCTCTGCTCCTCACAGGGGTACCTAGGAGGGCCTGACCAGCAGCCGGGTAGTACCATTGTCTCTGCCCGAGGGGAGACAGAGAGATTGTGCAGGCCACCTGGAGCGGAGGCCAGGGATGCTATCTGGACGGCCCATCCTGATACGGGCCGGGTCGAGGATGTGTGGGCTTCAGTGTGGGGATCGTGGACTGAGGTCAGAGTCCTAAAGAGCTAGCCACGGTGCGGCCTCCGGGGTGGAAATCCGGGGGTAAGGTGGGCCGTGCTACGTCTGCCCCGGGCCAGGCCTGAGAGCCAGGGGTCTGAGCCCTTCTGTCTCCGGCAGTGCGGTGATAGGACGTGGCTGGGAGCACGAATGCCAGGGGCTGCCCTGAGGAAGGGGCCCGCTGGGTTCTGCCCTATGTGACCAGGAGGAGGGGGGGCAGTGAGGGAGTGCCCGGCACCCCTAGCTCTGAGGGGAGACATTCACTTCTTTTTATATATATATATGAAACCAACTTTATTGAGGTGTAATTTATCAGCTTTTTTGAGGTACCATAGCTATATATCCTTAACGTGTACAATTGGATGAATTTGAATGTACGTACACACCCGTGGACCCATTACCATAACCAAGGTGGTGAACATATTTATCACGGCAGAGTTTTTTTTTTTTTTAGTTTAAATCCAAGTTTGTTAACATATAGTGTAGTAATGATTTCAGGAATAGCGTTTAGTGGCTCATCGCTTCCATATAACACCCAGTGCTCATCCCAACCAGTGCCCTCCTGAATGCCCCATGCCCCTTTGGCCCGTCCCCCCACCCAACACCCCACCAGCAACCTTCAGTTAGTTCTCTGTATTTAAGAGGGAAGACATCCATTTCTACCTCCTAGACTTGTCCTGCCTCTCCAATGGCAAGATTGTTTCTAGACTTACAGCCTCTCATCTTTACAACAGTCAGGGGAAAGAAACCTACAGAATGGTCCCCATTTCACTGAGGAAGAAACTGAGGCCCAGAGCCAGAGATCTCTGAGAGAGCCCTGGGTAAGGCTCTGTCCTCTCCCGGCAGTCCCCCCACACACACCCACTCTGGCTCTGTGGTCACATGTGGTCATGGCTGACATCTGTCGGCTGTTCCCTGGTCCACCACCTGGGTACTTGCCTCAAATGAGCCAAAGGGGCCAGCGGGTCCTGGAAGAGGGAAATGGGTATAGGTTCTGGACCAAAAAAGTAATGGACTCCTCTCGTAATTACACCACACCCAGTGTGGGCCTCCCTGACAGTGGCGCGGGATGCCCGTGGCTTGCTTACGACCTGAAACGCAGAGTGTGGCCACGCAGGGAAGGAGCTGGGGCCATCAGAGCTGTTGAACCATGGAATGCACCACTGCTGAGTAGTGAGCTCCCTGTCCCTCAGGCAGACACAGTCATCCCTGAGACCTTCCTCCAGACCTGCCTGCGCCTCCACAGACAGCCCCTCACTGCCCTTCACCCCCACCTCCAAACCTCTGCCAGGTCCTGGGTATCCTCACCCACCCTATCAGATCCTCCTGTTTCCAGAAAATCATTTCACTGACCAGCTACTGCGTGCTCAGGCTTGTGCTGAACCTTGCTGGGGCAGAGGGGGAGGGAGGTGGGCACTTGTGGCAGAGAGAGGTCATAACGTAATAAACAGCTCACGTTCACTGAGCATGTACTATGCACCGGGCAGTGTCCTAAGCATACGCCTCCTCTCATTTATTCCCCACAGCAAATACGAGATCAGCAATTTTAGTCATGCCTGTTTTCCAGGTGAGGACAATGAGGCTCTGAGAAGCTAACTCGCCGAAGGGCACGGGGTGAGTCATGGCACCAGGATTTGACCCCAAATTCAATGAGCTGGCACTCAAACATCTGCTGTAGCCAAAATCGGTGGTGGAGCCATGGTCTCGTCTCTGAGGGTGAGGGAGGGGCCAGGGGTCTGAGAGTCAGGTGGCCCGGTGGGGATGGGGAGGTGTTGAGAGCAGGAAACCTGTGCACGACATCCAGTCTTTGGAGAGCTTGGCGATTGTTGACGCAAATGCCGTGGCCCTTGACAGAGCTTGGCACCCAATGGATTATGAGTCCGATAAATGTTTGTTCATTGAGTGAATGAGCCCCATTTGCAGAGGGGGCATCCATTGCGGCTTCGTTCAATCAACTTTTATTGTAGACCTCGTGTGTGTCAGGTCTCACGCTGCTTATGCACGGTCACACCCGGCTCCCCTGTGAGGATCTGGTCTGGTATGGCTGGGGACTGGACAAAGTCAAAAAGGAAGGGAGGGAAATTTCCGTGCTGAGAATCCAGAGGTGACACTGGGTCCAGACTCTGGTCCCCGGGAGAGGAGCCAGGTGCTGAGGCAGGAGAACAGCTTGATGAGGAGACCACTCTTAAGGAGGTGGGCACATGGCAGTGTCCCTGGTGTCTGAGAATCAAGAGGCACCACTGTCTCCATTTTAAAGGCAATGGACAGATGATCTAGTCTGCACAAGTGATCTGATGGGACCACGGGCAGAAAGGACAGAAAATGATTCAGAGACCCAAGCGCCACCCCCCACCCTTGGAGGCAGAGCGAGGCCAAGTTGATAGAGGGGGAAATGGTGGGGAGGAAGCTGGGGTTTCAAGGCAGCCCCAGCCTTACCCGCCTCCCCCTCCTGAGTTCCCTTCCTCCCTGCCAACCCCTCCCTCTCCCATTGTCCAGCTGTGACTTGTGTAAGAAAACTGACGGTTATTGACTACCTCGTATACGCCAGGCACTATGCCGCCTCTTTGAACTAACGGTAAATGACAGGTTTAGTAATGCCCAGCACATAATAAGTTGCTCCATAATTATTTATCGAATAAATGAACGAAACGCAATCTTCATTTTATAGGTGAGGGTGCTAATGAATGAACAAGGAACGTGTTCCGAGTTGCACGGTCAAAAATTGGTGGAGCCGGGGATTTGACGTGGCTAGTATAATTTGCACGATATAAGAGCTACTGTTCACAGAGTATCTACCACGTGGTGTGCTAAACACCGTAAATTATCTCCCCTGCTCCATCGACAACACCCCTCCAGGTAACTGGAACTATCACCAGTTTACAAATGAGAAAACTGAGACCCAGAGAGGTATAGTATCCTGTCCCAGATAACCAGCTCCTAAGTACAGAAATGAGATGTGGATGGAGACGTCACACTTCCCCCGTGCTTCGGGGGGCCTGGAACCCCTGCAGGTTGAGACATTGCCAGAGCACAGATTCCCCCCCCCCCCCCCCCCCCCACCCCGCC